GCCTATATCAAGAGCATGCACCCTAGGGCAGCTGTGCAGCTTGCACAATGAACACAGTGGAATTGCAAAAACGCGTAAGCTTCAGGGGTTCAGGGGTAGGGGCTTACGGTTTAGGGTTACGTAGTGGGAAAGTCATCCCTGCACACAAAAACCCGAAGGACACAAATCCTTTTGAAAAATGAAACATACTTTGTAAGTTAGTGAAGGAAATTCTTCTTACAAGTCAGGAGATGTTTTTGAATCAAGGGGCTTTGTGCACAAGCCTATGTTAGACTGCTCGGGGGTCTGTATGTCATCGCCAAGTCCAGAAAGACTAGGCGACGCATATGAGAGCTTCCAATGTTCAGGGCTTAGGGGTCCGCCGCCGTAGACTCCAGACACTGAATTTCACACTCTATGCCATAATCAGGAGGCTGCTCCTGTATCTTGTGGCCGACCGCCCTAGCGTGGTCCTCTTCCTCACTGAGGGTTTTGTGTAGGACTATTCAGGGGATGCAGGATGTTACCTGACTAGATGGTCCAAAGCGTTGCCACAGTTAAAGCGATTGCGCTTCATTAGCGATGCGAAGGGATGCCCCAGGATTTTGGGTTCGAGTTTGCGGGTTTAGGATTTGACGAGCAATGTCATCATCCTAACCCTCAATTTATAGTCTGTACCCAAAAACCCCATGCTCGTCCAATACCCTGAAACATGTAGCTGCTGGGCATCCCACTTTCGACATGTTGTCATCTTGACACCATGGCCCCCAGGGGCTTCTTATCATTCTACGCCCAAAGCGCTGGACTGCAAAAACTCAAATGCTACACCCTGTAGACCACAAGCCTCAGAACCCCCAAATCTTAAACTGCGTAACTGCCCTTAGACTCTAAACGATGAACCTCAAAAATACTCTCCAAAAACGCAAGCCAGCAATCTTGGCCCCAATCGCCCAAGGCAAAAAACATCATGCTCGCAGTGCAACAAACGAAGCCCATGTCCCCCAATAGTACAAAGGATCCCTAATGTGGAACGCCCTAAACTCCATAAAGCCCTATGTAATCCCAGTCTCGCTTTGATGTTTCATTTGATTGTCCGCTTTCTCTCAAGTCTCGAAATCCCAACCTCCCCCAAACTAACATGCAATGCCACATGACATACTCTTGAAGGACTAGTAGTCAATATTGAGCTGATTTTTCAACGCTGGTTTGGGGGAGTCTACACTCGAAACCCTCAATGGCTGGCAGCCTTCAGCCGCTGTTGTCGTGAGATGTCCGAGATGGCAGCGCTGCTAAAGCTACGTGAGTCCATGTTTCTCCTGAGTTGTGCAACCCGATTGAGCGTTTCATTTCTGAGCGTTTCATTTCAACGCCGCGCGAATTAGGGTTAGGGATTTCAGGTTTATGGGTCCAGGGGTTTGGGTAATCTTCGATCTGTTAAAAATCACCTGCAGCCGAGCATCTTGGCCACATGATGTAAGCTACCTGCTGCACTGGTTCTTGATGGAACTCTGTTCACCTGAACAGACTCAATGGAAGACCCGCTCCGCGATAGCGTCACCTTAGTGGAGCTGAAGTGGAAGTGGATACCTGTATGAATCCCTATAAACCCTCATAACCTTACCTACATTCACCCCCAGCCTCTCCTAAAGCTCCACTAAGTTACGGCAACTTCGTTGTTATCCTCGGGATGTTCCGCCTGGGTCTGGTGCTCGTCCAAAGCGGATGCTGAGCTGTGACCACGTTCTGGGGGGACCGCCAAATCCGCAGAGGATGTGTGCCCCATCACCAACCCTTCATTCGAGCAGGTGAAGCTGCGCTTCAGCGCAGAAATCTCGACTTGATGGGCTGCACCTAGTTTGGCCAGCAAATCCTTAGTCGCTATTGCCCTAGGAATCAATTTAGCAATCCTTGTTGCAGTTGCATGACAAACCCTGCATCTGGCCAAACAGGATTGCCTTTGCTGACCCAGAATCCCAGAATTCGCCATCCTCATGCTGCTCTGCCATCCCACGTAAATACTTTAAATCACAGGCTCGCTCCTTCGAGCCCAAAATTCTCGAAAGTACATGTGCTGTACTCATTCAAGGTATCACGAGGGGAAGCCTGGTGGCTGCAGGACCCCATGACAGGCAAATGCTTCTGCTGGTAGAAGGAGGGGATTCAAATTCTCGGTGTCCGTTTTCCATTTCTGCATGGTTGGCTCTGTATTGGGTGTATAAGCAGCGATTCCGAGGCTTTGTAAATGGCTTCTGGGGCTGCTGGAAATCCGGATTTGCCAGGAATGCAGGACCCTATGGACTCCTTGTGTCCGCCACAGCCCCTGCTAGCTGCAAAATGATTGTTCCAGTTGTGTTCATGACTGGTCGTGGGGGCTGTTGCTATTACCGCTTCCTTTCTCACCGTTGTTATCATCGTGTCTGCTTGTCTGTGCATCTATTCCCTGCTCTCTTGTTGCAAGTACAGTTTGACAGGAGGTGATAGCTGTGAATTACAATATACCTGTGGCGATCTGCATTCAATGCGCACCATCACAAATGGAGCTCGCTGACTCCTCAGACTTAAATGCTCTTCAATCTCCTGCTTAAAATCTTCATTAAAGAGGAGGAAGCCCCCAAAATGTTCAGGTGCTACAGTTGTAGAAGAACCAAAAAGGCTCCTACTAAAAGTTTTGTAGCGTGAGAAGAATCTTAAGGAGTCCTTTCTTGGAAGCCGTACACAACAGTAGTTAATTTAGACAAACTTTCCCGAGGCACTCTCTGAAGTGCTCCGTGGATGCCATGCCGTATATTGGGCATTTCTCAAAATGGGGCACCCTGAGAAACCAAATAACAAGACTCTATACGGATAACCTTTTGAACCTCCCATCAACTCTCCTTGCTTTCTTTGCTCCCCGCGCAGCCAGGGAGACGTCGGCAAATTTACAAACGGTCTCTTTCAAAAAGCAGGTGCATTTGCCTGCTGGCTGAAGCACTAAGCCCACTTGAGACACTTTGAAGTGGGTCACGAATCAGGTTTGTTCCCCACATTGTAATACTGTAGAATCTGTCCGTCCGTTCACTCAGGCCCTTCAACCGTAAATCTCGGGAACAAACTCCGGTCAAACGCGGAAGGTACCTGGAAGAGCCAGTTGCCTCTGGAAGGTCCCATTGAGGCACTGTACCAGAACTGAGCCGCACTGGTTCCAGGCCTCTGCGGGAGACTTCTTAAGAGATTAGGGTTGCGTTTAGGGCAGGTTTAGCATTAAGTGTTTAGCTCTCAAGGTTCTTGGTTAGCATAAAAACGCTAGACTTGTTTCTAGGTTTAGCCGCGCAGAGAACCATAGTATTTTTGAAGTATGTCATGAGGAGGACCAGGCAGCCACGAAACTTGGCTTTTAATCCTGAATTCATATTATGGTGACATTGCCATGCCTTATTATCTCCTCCCCCTGGTATCAGACTGTCTTCCTGAATAAAATCAATAATTAGGGCCCCCCCCAAGAATCAAGGTACATTATTCGCCTTGTTTTTTTTAATTCTTATCCGGAGGTCTAAATGCTATCATCCTGATGTTTCTTGGTATCCGGAGACCTTCACATTCACATGTGGACGCGTGGACTCTGAGGGAAAGGCACCGGCCCCATCATCCGAAAAGTGACTTCGCTTGAGTGCCCCGCTTTGCTTTTTGGAGGCAGAGCTCTTACTACCTTAGATTCCTACAGCTCCAAGTCTGTGATCTGCTTTCATCTACTTTCTGAGTCCACCCCAAATCCTGAGCCCCTATCTGTGGAGCCTCAGGGTTGAAGAAAGAATGCCCCTTCTTGTCACAACTCGTAATTCTGAAGCTCGCGTTGGGAATTTCGAAAGACAGCTTCCCCCTGATGCTTCTCCATTAGAGCTCCTTCTCCAGCTAAGCAGGGCACAACAATGCTCCACGTAATTCCTCATAGACGTAAGGTTTTCAACTTCACTCCAGGAATTCGTTTTTCTTCCATGGCTTTCGCGTGATCAACCGATCCATGGCTTGCGTTAAACATCATGTTACGGAATTGGCAGCCACTGCACATGGTGCCTCCACACTGAAGAAGGACAAGCGTTAGACACCGAACCAGAGGCAGAATCAGCTGCAGTCCAAACATACGTGTTTCTAGTCACAAACCAACAATGCAGCCATGATGGAGAGCAGCTGGCTTAGCGGCCCTGCACGAGTTCCCTTCCATAAGCTTGGAACTCACTCCATGTCCAACCCTAAATCCTAAGCTACGCTGACCTTTCATGGTAAGAGGAGCCTGGGCGTTGTGGCGCTGTAGCTCCAGACTCCAGCGCTCCACCTCAACGCCAAGAGTTCCTACTGTTGCTTTGTGGTGGCTGCAAGTTTGCCTTCAGGGCGGCAAATGCCTAGATGCCGGTACCCAGAGTCTTGTGCTCTACTCAATGTTCTGGGTGCTTCAGCTTCTGGGAAAGTCCTCTCTGTTGGTACATGCCCACCCTAGAGTCAACGCTATCTGGCTCGGGGCTTTACAATGCTGTTAAGAGCTCCATGTATGGGTCGGATGTCACATCTACATGGATGCAGGCGTCTTCCACCCACGATCCCTCTGAATCCCCTTATGCAATTTCCTGTTGAAGGCTTCACATGTATCAGCAGAGTGCATGCCGCTTCCCAGATCTCCAGAAGGATCTGAACAAAAACAGATCCCCCAGAAGTGTACAGGACATTGTATGGGTGTTTCCCATCATTGGCTACCCCTTTCGGGGGATCCTTTAAAGGGGCTTGATCTGGGTTCATCTTGGGGGTCTAACATTTAGCTCCTCTGGAAGGTATGGCTTAGTGGTAAGAACGCCCAAGGCTCAGCGCTCTAGCGTTCCATAGGATGCTCCTCTGAAGCCCCGGCCAGAACTGCAACCCCTATCTTGAAGCACACATTCTACACCCCTTAGCATGAAACCCTTGGACCCCAACATCCAGAAACCCCAAAGACCTGTTGTTTTTCAGATCGAAGCCTAGGGGTGCGGGCCGGCCTCGCGCATGAAGGCCTCCACGTGATCACGGGCAGCGGGTGGAAGATGCCGCAGCCCCTCCTCCGCCTTCAGGCCAGCTTTTAGGGTTCCATTGTGATAGGTATTTGCGAGGTCCAGGTACATGCATCATCCCTAAACCCCAGCCCCTTGGCAAGCGAGCTGAACATGATGGGTTTGTAGCTAATTATTTTGAGTCTTTGCAACGTCTATGTATCCGTTTAGGGATTGGAGGTGTTTATATCACACGACAAACTTCAATGCTGTTCATCCACTGCATAGGTAAAATGATACATGTGTGGGTTGAGAGATGAGGATTTGGGGATGTAGGGGCATTGAGTTTGGCGGAAGTTTTATTACACTCGTGCTCATTCCAGTTTTTTGTTTTGAACTCCCCAAATCTCTGCCAATAAGGGGCTCAACCTTGCCTCTCGATATATGGAGCAGGAAAGGCTTGCTAGCGGAATCTGGCTTATGACCATGCATGGGCTTTGTTTTTCGACATTTCTTCTGTTTTTTTTTTGGCGGGCGGGGGTAGGGGGGTAGGAGGGTCACGGGGGGGAGGGGGGGGGGGCGAGGGGGAAATAGGGTGGTGCAAGACACTTGTTTAAAAATGTTGCAATGTGATGAACAATCATGAGAATGATGTAATGTGAGCAAAATGCAAAACTACATCAGAGGTTATGAGCAAATTTTGAATATGCATGACACATCATGAAACATGATGAGATATGATGAAAATCATGAAAATTACTTAGTTCAGTGGGGGCCTTGACGCCCCCGCCATTTATCACATCATGGAAAATAAAAGAAATCATGGAATATGATGAAAGTGAGGAAGAATCACAAATGCAAGGAAAACTGCTGAGCAATGTTCTAAAGTGATCAAGATGGTAGGAAGTGTGATGAACATGATCAAGCATGATGAAAGATGTTGGAAGACATGGGAAATCGTTAAAACTGACGGAAAAGCATAGAAATGTATGTGAAAGAGCCTGAAAATGACGAAAGATCATGAAAACTGACCAAAAACGATGAAATTCGATGGAGTATGATGAATAATGATAAACTATGATAAGGAGCTGGAATCATGACAAAATAACGACAAAATGTGTTGTTCATGTATGGTTGAGAAGATCTTAAGTAATCATAAAATTACTAGATGCAATCAATGCAGAAATGCCAATAATGGCAAATTACCACTAGATATAAAAGCAATTAAGGGTTATATACTACTACCAGTAGCAATAAGAAGAAGGTACGCATGACCTTCTGTGCGTATTTCTTTCTTTCGTGTCCTTCTTTCTGTCATTGCTTGAATTCTTTCTTTCTGGCGTTGTTTCTTTTCTTCGTTGCTGCTGTTATCCTGCTTTTCTTTACTTGCTATGATTACTGTGACTTCTTGTTTGTCAATTTATTGCTTTCTTTCTTTCGTTCTTTCTATCTTCTTTGTATGTCTCTTTGTCTCTTTGAATATTCTGTCTGTTCTTTCTTTCTGTATTTCTTTCTTGCTTTCTTTAGGCTTTCTTCCCCGTCCTCCTACTCCACAGCAGCTCTTCCGCCCTTCTTGCTTCATGGCCTCCTATGGAACCAAGGTCCCATCGCCCCACAAAACAAAGGGAAGAGGCGCCCCCCATCCCCCCAAATAAAAGCAAAAAGACACCCAGAATATGTTTGTGTGCCCTAAGCCCAGAACCCCCCAAACCCTTGTCCGAACTTGCAATTCCAACCCGAAGCTCGAAATCCAAAACCCTGAACTTCGAACCTTAATCCCCACGTGAATGTTGTCAAAAATTGGGATCACCCTGGTACATCCAAAAATCTCTTCTTCCTAGTTATACGGACTCCCCGAACGGACTGCTAACCTCTGGACATTCTGATACAGGAAAGAGGATGTCAGTTTTGAGGACCTCCGTTCCGCCTCCTCTTCAATTTTCCCGCGCTGCACAGCTGCGGCCCCGTTTGCAAAGCCCGCAACGGCCTTTCGCAGTAACGTGACCTGAGCTGGGTTGAGTGTTGAAAGTTAAGCTTTGGAGCTTAGAGCTTTAGGTTTAGAGAGTTTCGGGGATTAACATTGATGTCAAGTGCTCTTCTTAACTGCAAACAGCCGAACACTCTCACCCCCGCGAGAACCGCCAAACTTTCAGGCCCCAACACGAAACCATAAAAGCCTGACTCTTGGCCGCTGTTTTACCTGTGGAGCGGCATCACCGGCATGCACCAGCAAGTTGCGCACCTTCGAAAGTGCCCGGACTTCTGTCAATGCAGAGATCACGTACCAGGTTAGGGTCAAAGGTTGGAATTCAGGGTTTCGGGGTTGCCCTTCCCAAATGCTTAGGGGTTTCCCTGTTGGTTTGGGGGAGGGCAGGGGTGGAGGCGTTGGCAGATGAAGGTTACGAACGTCCCATTTCTTTTTCGTAGCCTGGCAAACAGTCAATCTCTAACATGAAAGCCTAAATAAAGGCCCTACAAAGACTCCTTTTCTTTGAAAAGGGGACCATATCTTTTTCCATGTTTGTTTGGGGGAAGGTATGCGCCCCGGAGGAATTGGAATTGTCTCTGCGGGCACTAAATGTGCTGTCATTGTCGTGGGGAATATTTCTGACCAAGGTGGGAACCATCACCATCCTTCGCAAGTCTTAAACTTTCCTGGACCAATAGGCTATCAACGTAATTCACCACAATGCTTCGCAACTCCGCAGCAACCTTTGAGGGACACTGTCTAATGGGTTTCTCAAAGGGTCACACACTACGATGAATTTGCCAGAAGACCTCAACCCCAGTGCCGGTCATCCCCGTCCAGGACAACAAAACCCTGAACCGCGAACAGTAACCCCAGACTTTCCAGGGAACCTTCTGAAATTGTGTCATCAGCCGTTTCATCTCTGGACCCAGCTCAAGGCTCTTGGAATTTATCCTGGTTGCTGTGAGGGTCCATGGTTGGAGGGTCGGAGAAGAGTTTAGGGCTTTGCATTTTTCCTGGCTCTTGGAGTGGATGTGACACTTCTTGCACAATCATGTAAACAAGATGTTGGACGACTCTTTTGCTGTAGCTCTTGTATGGGGAGTATAGAGGAGCGAGATCCATGCCATTTCTTCGTCTCATACAATATCATGTCTTGCGCCTCTGTACTTTGGGTCCATTTATACCGATGCGGTAATACGCAAAAAAACCCTGCAAGCTCAGTTGTAGCACATACGGAGCAGGTAGGGGCCGCATCCATGGTTGGGACCTTTGAAGTGTGTTTGGTCTGTTCAAAACTCACTAGTAAGCTTCTGTGATATAACTCATTAAGGGGATGCTTTGGTGTAGATAGAGTTCCTTCGGAATATTGATCAGTGTGGATGTAGGGCATAGGCCGGACGTTCTGTTACTAACACACGGCTTGCTGCGCATAACACCATAACTCACAGTCAGGAGAGAAATCGACAATCTATTCCAGACAACTTTCATCCAGGTTACTTCGAACGCCGAACCCTAAGCCCGAATGTTGGCAGACTCTAAACCGCCCTGCTCCAACTCTCTTTTGTGACGTTGGACAACATCGAAGCCAAAGTGGAAGCCCACTATATCTTCTTAGAGGGGGCGCACCGGTTCCATGTTTCAGTCGTAGCCGCTTTCAGCAGTGGAAGATTACGCGATGTGTGGTCACAAGACAGAAAATTGGGGCAAATGGGGTTACCACAAAACCAATTCTTGCAGGTGTACCACCAGCGATGCACGAAACACAGCGTTGCACGGTTTAGGGTGTGGTGTGTAATGATGGTCTTCAGAAACAGTAATTGGAAGAGAATTCCCCGGATGCAGTCGCCTAATATTGAGGGTGACCGAAAGGGGCCTCCTTTCCTTTAGTAACTCACATATCATCCAGGTTTTAAGCGGCCTCTGCTCCATGCTTCCGTGGATCGCATACTGATCCCTACTGTAACCCCATGTACTCACCCACCATGGTACCTGTTTTCACTTCAGTAGGACATCGAAGCAAGGAACCGTAGGGAAAGTCCATGCTACATTTAAAACTTTTCAAGTGAGAACGGATAAATAGTCTCATGAAGCGATATATTCACAGGACAACCTTCTGGAAACCCCGAATGCAAAAGCCGGTCTCAGAAAAGTCTCTTGGAGGCCGTGGTTGCGAAGCGGTGGGGCAACAGGTCCCACAGCAGTCCCACACGAGGGTCGGCCGGTTTCTCAAGGCAGCAAAGCAGAACAATCCTGGCAGGAATACTCCAGACCCTCAGGGGGGATCAACAAAAAAAAGTTCCCCCAAGATAGCATGAGGATTATGCAGGCATCACACCGGGGTTCTTCTGGGTGTAGGTAGTGATTAAAGCTTTTAGATCCTCCCAAACATCTGGCAATGCCTCAACATAACAATTACCGTTTCGCGTGGAGGGTTGGGTTTATTTACTCAAAATTCGACTGAGCTACTTGCTCATGAACCGCAAGCCAAGGATCCGTGGCAGAACCCAGAACAACTCCACATCGTAGCCAGTACACATGCTCCTGAGATCCGGAGCAAGCATCTGCGCAATCTTGCCTCGAAGGTTTGACATGGAAGCTTTCACCCTAAAGGGATACTTATGACATAGTCTTGTACCACTGAAAAAAGCCGTCAAAAGTAGTGGGGCGAAAGCAACACCTCATTTCAATGGGAAAGGAACTTCTTGGATAGTCAAAAACCATGTTCTCTGTAGTATTGATTGCGCGATGTCCTAGTAGGATCAACGTGATCTGGGCCTAAGGGTTTAGAACTTAAGGTCTAGGGTGATTGAGAGCCGGGATAGTTTACCGTCATGCTTTTAGGCTTGGATAACCCCATGTCCCGTCTGATGCAGGTCTCATAATACCAAGGGTTGAAAACCCTTGCACAGGGTAGTTGAAAGCAATGGAGGAAAGGCTGCTGTTGTGAAAAGATGCATTCCGCCACGAGGTCATTGTTGGCATCCAGTAGCACCGACTGCAAGAGATAGCGGGAGCCATTTTGCCAGGTCTCCTTCTGGAATGCTTACTAGTCAAGTGGAACATTGAAGATTAAATGCAGCCTCTGGCTGCCCATCGGTAAATGTGGAGCTGTTTCTACCCAAGTTTTCTTCTCACAATGCTCTCATAGCTCCTCGTAATCTGCAAGCCGTGCTACCAGGCCCGCATTGTCACGGAGACGCGGATGAATTCGATCCATGCGCTTCTTTGCCTCACGCAAGTACCAGCGCATGGCCTCGAAAGAGCCCACCACGTCAACAGCGATGGACACTCCAGCACTTTGGGACGCGGCGTCTCGAATAACTGTTGTTGCGCAGCCCTTGCCTTCACTAGCAGCCAGGATGTCCTTCCGGGTAATCTTGAATCTGCCGAGAACCTTAGCTGAATTGCTGCAAAGGTTGTGCGGGACAGCGGGCATGCAATTGTTTTAGCGTCAGCATGCACAGAAACATAGACCAACAAACATTCACGGGGCAGCCTTGCAATCCAACTTGGACATGTCAGGCCGCCGCACGACCGGGCTGCTGTCAAAGACTTAAAGCCTTACATGGAGAATTACAGCAACGTGAACACATGAATGACAATATTCGGTCGTTGCAGAATGCTCACGCATTTTATGCTTCTTAGCAGCAACCCAGACCACTGTACACTGGCACTGCTTCGGCTTGCACAGAAAAATCTGTCACAAGCGGAGTCAGGAATGCATCGAAAAGCTAACATGATGTCTCACACAGCTTTGACAACTCCAAACAAACTGGTTACCATAAGGCGGTGTGCTGATTCCAGCTTGGCAATCCTTTCACTCCAAGCCTACAACATGCTCGCCTGTCCATGCAGCTTGCGAGACGTCTGACCACGATAGGGGTAGGTGCGGATGGGTTAGCCCAAAATGGCTTCAGAGCGCCATCCTTTGCCAGACTTCTGCGTGAACCCTATGCCCACAATGTGTTTGTCCTCTTCAGTGGACCAGACTTGGATTCCCAGGAGAAACTTGTGATTAAAAGTTTGAGCTCCCCGAGGCGGGTGCCGCCGAAGGGGCCAATTCTTGCTCGTCCCGTCGTTGATCTCAAATTCGATGTGATCAATTCTATCGCTGGAAAAACATGGCGCCGAGGAAGCCTGGAGTTCCGTGGCCTTCTCGTAGTAGGTGGCTTGGATCCAGGCCTTCAGCGCTTTTGGTCGGCTGGTCTTCAGCTCTTTGCTCTTGTCCGGCTGTCCATGAAGGTGTCGCTGCCATATGCTGCCACGAATGACAGGCTTTCCCTCCATCAAATGCCCTTCTTAGTACAGGTCCGGCAAAGGGCATATGGCATCCTGCTCTGGGCAAAGCTGTTGGAGCACGTCCTTGTGCCCAAGATAACTTGAGCCAGTGAGATCTCGAACTTTCGCGTCGAAGGCCTGTGGGACTACCAGTGCAAATGAGGTTCCAGCAATCTTCTTGCTGTCCATTGTGCGGTACTCCACGATCTTCGTGATGTGCTGTTGCAACTTCTTCATAGGCGGATCCACCTTGCTCAACACCGGCATAGCAACTTTTACAAAGTTGACAGTCCGCGGTATTGCATTAATGTCCAACCCCAAAGTGTCCAGGCCTCTGAGCTTAATGCTGAGCTCAGCAGCCAACTGCAGGCCATTTATCATGCTGTCGGCTTCAATAGTGCCCGTGATCTCACATGTAGCTCTGTAGTAGATACGGTGCTTGTACAAATTTCCGAACGTGTTCTGAAGCTGGCCGTCCAGGGACAGTGGCTTGAAGTCCTCGACAATATTTGCATCCTGAAGCTCCGGGTAATGAGAAGTACGCACACAGGGGTAAGCAGCCTTGACGCTAGTGCCGGTAGATGCATAGTCCTTGAGAAGCTTTCCAGGACCTTTGCCCTAAGAAATGCGGAAAACTGCCCAGAACTCACCACTGACCTTCAAGGATTTTGATAAATTATGCGATGAGTTGATGATCTCACAGTGTGGCTCGTTTGACTGGAAAGGGGCGGTTCGCTTGTGCGACCTTGAAGGACCTTCATGTCCTGACGAGCTTGCGCAGGATATCGCAGGATCATGAATATTGGCCTTGAAACTTGAAAGGCCTGCCAAGGTCGTTCCTGCTTGGTGCCATGGATAAGCATGCAAGTGCTGAGGATAAGAAGATGTCAGCCATTGCTGTGAGCCAATGAGAAATACAATGTTTGCGGGCTGTCCTTGAGATGCCAAGAAGAGGGTGCTGCAAAGCAACATTACACGCTGAAGCAACAATGTTTCTGCATTTTCTAGGTGGCATGCAGAGGACCTTAAGTCTGGCGCAACCCCACACTGCACACGGAGCATTGGTCTCTAGCGCATTCATCACTGCGGCATCTTCCTGTGCTTTTTTCTCAAGCATATCCATGTCAAATGTAAAAATCCTGCATGAGCTTGCTGTACTAAACTTCCAGAATGCCCTGATTTTAGTATACTTATGGCCATGCATAAGCAGCAGTATCCTGTAAGTTGTACCTGAATGAAGAAGCCATCTAAGCCTTGAGCAGTTCATTGAATCTCTCCGTTGCTCAGCAGGGAATGCAGGAATGCATTCTAGGGCGCGTTGTGCGGGATAAGATATACACCCTGCATCCTAAACATCAGACAATGAATCCGAAGAATCAATTTATCAATTTTGGGACTTCTGGGCTCTGAAGCGCGTGCCGGGCAGCTGCCCTTGCAGATTCCAAGATGTCGTTGCCCAGGTCATCCCGGCCTTGGACTCTCAACTTGCAACTCTCCATCTAAGGGTGGAAGTCGGTGGAGGTACGGGCCCCTAAGATGGGACCTTGGCGTTTTTTGAAGATTCTCAAGGACATAATAGATCTTCAAAGACTCTGAGGTTCAAGGTGTGTTAACTAACCCACAAGCCCTAAACTCCAAAACCACTACCCCATTAAACTGGCTTCGTCCTGGACACTGTTAATTGAAGCCCCAGACCAAAAGCCATAAACATCTCAAAAGTCCACGCCGTGACAGGAATAGAGCTCCAAGTGACGATGATGGCTATGCCATGAATGATAACCGCGTAAGACCAGAAAAGAAACCAGTCTGACAAATGATGCGATCGACGCACTGATGCTTTATGCCTATAACATTAGGAGATAGGCTTGTTAGTTAGCATTGTGCAGCATTTCGCTCATCAACAATACTAATGTAGAAGCCCAAGCAGCGACCAAGACTAGCTATATGAATTACAGTGTGATACATCCCAAAAGCCATGTCATAAGCCTTGATGCCTTAAACACTAGATCCTACTAGAAACTACACGCACCAATCAAACCCTGAACAGTTGTTTCTGGCCTTTGCCCCGAAAGTTAGCCACGGAGTTCAAGCGCGCGATCAGCAGAACAAGCTTCTGTTGTACATTTTGGCTTTCCTCGGAAATTCTGAGATGGCAAACAAGGTTTAGCATGTATTCCTTTGTAAATACAAACCAACTCTGACTGCACTTATAACATATTACCCAGTGATGAGGATAATTGAGAGCTAGGTGGGCGGCTGAAAATTTGGGTTAGAAGTAGAACAATAAGCAGGTTTTACTTATTGTGAACCTTTAAGTATAGAAGGCCTCCGAGGTTGACAGCCCATGTGAGTAGCGTGCTTTCGGTGGTTGAAGCAAATAAAGTCGTGTTCCTCTTATGAAATAGTACAAGGTCAAGTAAAGTACTACAGTAGGGGCAGTATCCGAAGTGGGAGACGGAATATGCAACAGGCTGCATACCGGGCTTTTGCAGGATATGTGCAGCGGTGCCAACGATTAAAGGTCCCCTTTGGGGAGTTCTTGGAATTAGGACCACCCTATTCTGGAAGGGACACCCCTTCTTTTGGGGACTCTCATGCCCATGCTTCTGTAAGTTTGGGGGTTGCAAATCCTCCCCCAGGATAGCAAAGAGATTCGCAATTTGGGGATTGGTTGAGGGATGTTTAATGTGAAGACGGTCAAATGAAATGAAGTGCTAATGCCTTTCGAGCGGTCGAGAGGCGCATATCCTGCAAGTGATAGGGAACACAAAAGTCACATCCAAAATGCCAGCAATGATTTTGGAGAGCCCCAATTGTACAAACTCTCGGACCGTTAAACATGAAGCACAAACCCTGGAACCATCAACCGAAGCCCTCCGTTTTCCGGACTCCTTTTGAGCCAGCCTCAGTTTATGGGGAGAGTGTTTCGAGATGTTAGGCGGGTGCCGCTTTTATTCAGGGTTGGGTTCAGGGTTCAGGATTATGCGGGCCCAACTTCTACAGCATTCCTATCAAATAGACTCCAGAACTAGACATACCCCTTTCAACTGTATCACCCTGTCTACTTTCTACACAGCTCCCGCAACCTCCCTAAAGCCCTGAAGCCTACAGCCCTTAATCCTCAAACCCAAAGCCCTTAAACCGTAACTTCACTTGCCAGCTTCGTATTTGCCCAGAGCCTCCAGCGAAGACAGTATTTCTTCCAACTCAGCAGGCTCCTTGACCTTGCTATTCCCTACACTGGGTTGCTCTTAAGGAACTTGAACTAAGCTATCATAATGGGCATATATATAAATATAAATATAAAATAAATATTGTGCTTCCCCAATATGGTTACTCATATTAAGTTCCTGAACAGCAAGCTAGTAAAATCAGGTGCAGGGTTTGTAAGGTTTACAAATTAAGGCTTGTAGGGTTCAGGGCCTAGGGTTGATAATCCGAAGGGTCTAAGGCTATTGACGATGCGTACTGGTGATCCTTAAAGTCTATAGTCTATAAGCAGGACCTACTTTGGTTCAAAGAACTGAAACAGGCTCACTATTTGGGGATTTGGGTTCGGGGCTTAGGGACTACTAGGGCTTGAGGGTGGATACTGCTGCCACCTACCAACGGTCGTTGAAGAATGATATCTTTAGGTCTGTGTTTATGTTGAATGTGAGTGTTTTCCAGCTGTCAGCGGTTGGAGGGAATATCCAAGTTTTAAGACTGGGAAAAGAACCTGTACGTCCGGCCCCACAAAAAATAAAGAGGTTTAGAGACCGTAGAGCGCGTCGTCCCATGCAGCCCTGCGATCCAATTTGTAACTGCTCTGATACATAAAAGATGCTTGCATGTTGCCTACCGGCATTTAGCATAATTGCAAATTTCCGCTGGCTTCCAACGATGGCCAGGCTTTACCACTCCCTGAGGCGCATGGGGAAGTCCTTTCAGGCAACTGCCCACCTGTGTTTCTGGTGCTTGATGATGGCTCGGTAAGGATATGGTCCGGGTAATATAGAAGCATAGGGGGATGACACGTAGAAGAGCTCAGGCAATTAGGGGTTTAGAAATATGGGTGCAGGGTCCCAGGGTGAGTGACCACAAGCTCTATGATAGGGGCTTGGGCGGGACTTCTTTAGGGAGTAGCTGAATGGATTCGCTCCTCCACCCACTCTCAAAACCAAATGCTACACCTTAAACCATAACCTTAAGCCTTACAGCAGACTCTGTATCTTAAGCCCTACAGCCCCATACCATAGAAAAGTACTGAACTACACAGACTAGGATCTTCTCTACTCTTCAATACCTCGCCGACATATTCATTCTCCCAGTCATCCTTATGTCCACATACATAGCCCTCTACCCCCATGTTCACACCCTTAACCCCGAACCGTGTCGTGCTCCGGACTCCTAAGCCTTAACAAGAGGCATGCCGGCGAGCACGCTCCTCGATGTAGGCCAGTTCTGCGAAATACTTCTCTTCCTGGGCTTTTGATCTTTGTGGGGTTGGCTGAAGAGTAACCTATGCAGCTTGCATGTTTCAAAGGTCTAAGGCTACTCTAGTTTGAGGTTTAGGGTGTAAGGTTTAGGGTTTAAGGTTCAGGTTTGGGGGATTAGCATTACACAAGGCCCAGCTCGTAGGGATTTCTGGAGGGAGAGTTTCTCCTTCTGAGGATAACATAAGAAGGCACATCTCTTGAAGGGGCATTTGGTTTAGCGCGTAGGGCGCTAAGGGTCAGTGGTTGAGTAAGGGTTTCGGGATATCTCTTCTTTGATTGCTTTTGGGGGCTTCACGGGTATGCGTCGTGTCTCCTTCTAGCCAGGGATGCTATAAGAATGTACTGCTCTTCCTAGGTCATCGGTGCGATGCAGCGCTATGGTGTACGATTTGGATGCCATGCCGCGCTTGTTTGTGGCCTAAAGATTCCAGATCTTCCAGAGCCCTTCAACTAAGACCTTAAACCCACTAAAGTTCCTTGCATCAATTCATCTTGTGTTCCTTGATTGAAAGATTGTGCAAGTTCAAGGTTGACCGAAATCTAGTGGGCTACATAGGGATAATGGAAAAGAACATGGAAACTACTATAATGAAATCTCAAGCTTTTGTAAAGAGATTTGGACTGGGCCCCCACCCACTAATAGTGGTATACTGGGAATATATAAGGACCTTAATATAACTACCATTACTTCTTGTGGTCACTATTAGTGGGTGGGGGCCCAACCTAGAAAGAGATCCAGTTTCGAAAGCTGCCCAGGCCGCATCCAAGGTATCCAAGAGGGGGCAAATTGCGGATCGCGTCAAAGACTTGCTGCCTGCGAGATGGGAGGCCAATGCTGAGCTGGGCGGATTCCGCAACACAGTGATGTACTTACTATTAATGTTGCTATTCGTATTGCTATTCTCGTTATCATTTCTATTCTTGATTTTCTTATTGCTATTCTGTGATCACTCTGCACAAAATGTGCATAGGGAACGTGGGCGCTTCCTGCCTATGACTTCGGCTGGGGGACTCAACAGTGCTTCAAGCCCTCCGTCTACAACAAGACTAGAATACAGTATGTAGTATAGTATTGCCCACGGTTTATGTGCCAGACCCTTGGGCAGCAAGTCCGACTATTCTGACAACCTTTTACCGTATAGTTTCTTCGAAAAGCACTGTAGTGTTTGCAGAGGGGTGTTGTTGAAAGACTTCAGGAGGGCCCGTGTATTTTGAACATCCAATGAGATCGCATAAAGATTCGTTCGAATATGCACTCCTTTATAAGCATTTTATATAGAACATGTCGAAATTTGCAAGGAAATTGAAATTTCAAGAGCTCCTGATTTGCGTTGGATGGATATTTACAGCACCCTGATAACCTCAGAACGACCCTTAATTCACGATTAAAGTGGGTGAATTGGCCCCTTTTCAAGTAGTCTTCCTGTTTTATATAGCCTTACACAACTTTAGGCCTGTGGCCAGACTCTCAGGGCAAAGACTGTTCGGCCTGCTTTTATAGACGAGCAAAACCCAGTGGCATTGCCACACCTACCACTCCTTCACTAGCTCAGCATCTGCACCCCGAGGCCACAAACCCGAAATGCTGAACCCCGACCCCACAACTCCGATCGCCTGAACTCTTTTCTTGCCAGGGCCCGAAACTTTGAACCCCAAACCTCTAAACCACACCTGAGCTCCCAGACCCTGAAACTGCAGATGACAGGATGGTTTCCATTCTCTCGTCCAGTCCCCTTTATAATCCTAATGCCTCAAGCCCTGCCTCCAGCTGCGGAGGACTCCTTGGATGTGGCTGAGCTGCTGTTAAATGCGACCTCTGTTGCTCTGTACTAAATCCACTAAATTCAAATGTTCATCAGTAAAAAAAGCTGCTTAACAAGAAGCCCAAGATCGCCTTCAAACCTACAAACCTTAACAAATCTTAACAATAAAGTGACATTCAACAAGACGAGATGGTGCTTAGAAGGGAATGCAGGCTATAGTGGTCCCTACACAATCCCCCATAAGCATCCCATATTCACGCCTTCACCCCCGCTTAAACCAGAGCCAGGCCCCAAAATCCCAAACCTTGCACACCCTCACGCCCACCAAGCCCCAAGCCTAACATGCTCTTCATCGAAAGCCGAGGCTCTAGGAGACTGCAAAGACCAGCCCAGGCTTCCTGCAGTGCTGAAGCCCTTCGGCAGACCTGACAGTCCATGCGTCTGGAGACTCATGGGACTTAGGGACTTCGTAACCACTCATGATTGGTCTTGTAACGCTACGTAACACCCCCTAACTGGCGGTATGTAGGTCCAATCCAGATTGCCCCAAGTGATGAACCAATTGTATATGATTGCTATGTCGAAGGAAGTGGGAGTTGTCAGAGTGAATGTAGGGGCACTCATACGCACATATGTATAGTTGGTTCGTGCGCGAATCTAAAGGTTAGTACCTATGTCTATGTACACATGCTTTTGTGTTTGCAGTTGCGGGATCAGGGTTTAGGGAGACGGGGGAGCCACTGTGGGCACTGTGCCAGGGTGCGTGGTAACAAAAAATGGATCATCTTAGGGATCCACTCCTCAGCTCAGATAAGAACAAGGTCAGATGATATGTCTTCCCAAAGAGGGACACTACAATCCCCAAAATGGAGTAGCTTGCTATCATCCTTTTGGCCATAGACCTGTCTCACAAGGATATTATCCTACTTCGATTGCCCCCCAAAAAACTGTACGCACAAAGGAAACGATACTCGTAAAAGTCTGGCGCTCATGCGTTTTACCTTCAGCGCGCGATTTGGGTTACAGGGTCTCATCTCTGAGGCTTAGGGCCTAAAGCCTGAATCCTAAAAGCCAATACCTTAACCCCTGGACCCCAAACCTAAGCCCCGAAACCCTTAGACGCTAAACCCAAGTGCCTCCCTGCTAAGCTCAAACTTCTCGCCGTTCAGCCAAATGGGGGCTGGAACCTCCAAGCTGGCCTCACAAGGCTTTGCGCTTGGTGACCTTTCAGAATGCCATGGCAATGCAACTTGAAGGTTTGAGGTGTTTTCTTTGTTGAGAGGGAGTGGATCCCTCCAATTTTCCATATAACCTTGATCTGTCTCACACTATATTCAATCCTCAAGTTGAATGTTTAAGATGTAGGGATCCGCGCATCAACCCAGGCCCGGCCTATGAGGGAACGCAAGCTTCTGTACAGTTTTCATTCTAAGGGTTTTTCATGCGGACTACGGATTCTAGGTCTACCAGCTTCACATGGCTTATTTGGGAAGAAGTTATAGGGATCCATTCCTTTTTCCCTGCTACTGGTCAAATTGTATTAACTCCAAACCCTAAAATTAAGAAATTTTGCGGCTATAATGTATATACACCACCATGTAAGGTGTGGTCGGGTGACGTCACTTTAAGTTGGCTGGCTACTACGCACCAGGAGGACTTTCAAGGCTTTTTTCCCGAATGCGTAGCAGAAGGGTTCCCGTTTTAAGGTTGGGGTCCAGGGGTCCAGGAGGCGACGCGAGGTCGTTGCGTTTGCGTTCGCAAGGTTCGCAAGCGTTCGCGGAGGGTCGGACATGCCGGAGGGACGAAAATCGTCGCGAAACGCAGAACTGTCGTCACTTTTTACGTTTCGTATTACAAAAGTGTCAACAGTCACAGGGATTGGGGGGGTCGTGGTCGCGAAACGCAGAGCTGTCGTCACTTTTGGACTCGACTCGGGTCTTCGCGTCTCAAAAGTGTCAACAGTCACAGGGATCGGGGGGGGTCGTGGTCGCGAAACGCAGAACTGTCGTATTTTGGACTCGTCTCGGGTCTTCGCGTCTCAAAAGCGTCAACAGTCACAGGGATCGGGGGGGCGTGGTCGCG